TAACAGTCAATTTTACTGTATCATACTCTTGGAGCTTACTTAAGCCCATAAAAAGCCTTCTTTAACTTAGACATCTTTTCTTTCTATCCTTTAACTAAAATATATTCGAGTTGAATAACAAAATTTTTTTTATAAATTTATATTTAAAAATATAAATTTTACATCAAACTGATAAACATGCTAACTTAAATAAGCAGCTAAAGCCAAGAAAGTTTTAATGGTTTCAAATCTAACAATCAAAGAAAAAGTATTATCAAGATCAATACCTTGTTGTTATGAATATCCTTTTTTAGCCTCGTGCTTTTGAATACTTATATTTATATTGTATTTTGTTTTGAACATTCATGGAGCACTTCCCAATTATAATATTTTTGAATGGATTTATAATATTTTATTGATAAATTAAAACATTGTAATTTTGTTTAAGAATATCATAAGAAACTCTTAATTAGTTAAATCTCAAAAAAATTAATAAACTAATTTTATTAGTTATATGACAGTCTTGGTGATTTTAACAAAAAATTAGGAATGTTTTAGTATATTCAAAAATAAAGAATAACAATTTTTTTCTCATTTAGCCTTAAAAATATTTTTAAATATATTGAAGAACTTTAAAATATTTGTTTACATTCAATATATAATAATAATAATAATAATAATAATAATAATAATAATAATAATAATAATAATAATAATAATAATAATAATAATAATAATAAAAGTTACTGAACATTGTAGTCGATCAAATTCGATTTAATTAATTAGGTTTTGATGGAAAATAATTATTTTTTGACAAAATGATATTTTAGATATTTGAAAAGGGTAAGGATTCTATATGAAAAATATAAATATATATTATTATTTGCAACCTCTTTTTTACTATTTATAATATCATTTTAAATTTTTTTAATATTTCTAAACTATCCTTTACAAATGGATATAAATACTATCTTTTTTTCTTCCTTCTTCTCTTATCGGTATTATTCTTCTTTATCTTTTTTCTCCTCCTCCGAGGATGATATCGAGGGGTTGATAAATAAGGTCGAACAACATCGAGTGGTATTGATGAGGATAAAATAAGAGGTTTTGGGGAAAAGAAAAAGAAAGATAAATTCATTAATACTAGGACTATAAATAGTAAAATAATATTTTTTTTATTTAAAAAAAATAGATTGTCAATAGTATAGAGAAGCTGTGAATAATAAGCTTCATATAGAAAACATGAGACATCACTTAAAAAACATAAAAAAATGACTTTTCTATCAAATCAACCTATTTTCCAATAGGAAGCTAATTAAATTCTTTCAAGATTAAGGGAACATTCCAAATTAGAGGTGCCTAAGAAAATATGAGTAAGATTTACATTAGTTTGATTCAAATAACTTTGAATAAATTAACATTAGTTAAATAAAGGCCTCTATGACCCACATACATAATCCAAATCATTAGCAGGACACAGTCCATATAGTGAATTGTATCCACAAACATACCAAGTAACACAAGACATTTATGTTAGTTTAATTGCAGATCTGCTTCTTGAAGATTCACGAAACATTGATTCAATCAATCATGGGGTACGCAATGCCCTCTGGTCACCGAAGAAACCGGTGAATCCTCCTCAAGGGAAGTCCACATGATAAACCTCGTTCATGTCGGGGTAATAAAGCCCATAGTGTTGTTCGGTTCCTTCTTGCTTCAGGTTCTCGTTGAACATGGCGAACAAGAAGGTCTCCAACCCCCTCCCAGGCCTCTTGGGCGTCCCGTTTGAAGTCGCCGCGAGCCTCACGGCGTTGTTGTTGTGGATCTTGGCGTACTCCACCGTCGCCACCGCCGGCCCGCCACCCGACGGCCATCCTGTCTCCGACAGCACCACCTCCACGTTCTGCCCTCCGACCTTCTCCATCGCTGTGTACACGGTGTCGACCATGGCGTGCAACATGTTCGTGTAGCCCAGGTTGCCGTCTTGCACGATCACGGTGGTCGAGTTCAGGAGCACGTAATCCAGCTTCATGTACTTGGGATCGTATGCGTAGTAGGGGTACGCGTTGAGGAGGAGAGGATAGTTATTGGCCGCCAGGAACGAGATGACGTTGGACATGGTCGCGGTGGCCACGTCGGAGAAGACGCCTTCACCTCCATGCCTTCACCTTTCAATCCATAGTTCACTCCTATGCCTTCACCTCCTGCATCAGCCATTAACTCTTCCATCACCCACAAACAAAATCTTACAGCTCGTTTTGAGCATAAGAAGCACCCATGCAAACATAATAAGAGTCTCCACTCAGAAAGTTCATTCAGTCCCGAAATCAAACAACGCATCTCAATCAAAACGAGTAATGATGGACACAGTCCAACATAAAGATGATGCTTCGTATGAAACAGATATAAATCAGTATACCTGCTAGAATACTACAGCTAGAGATCAATAGCAGCACCATAGCAGACACGCAGAAGAACAAAAAGCTCGCCATTCTCGCTGTTGCCTTACTTACCTGCCAAGAACACAAGAGGTTCCATTGAACTGTTAAGCATGGCGACAAATTATCTAAGAATGATTAAGCAATAGACACCAAAGAGCATGCCTTCACCACTTGAATCTATTAACACCAATCAAGCTGCTGTTGCTTCTGAAGCAGACAAAGCTGAGAAGATTAACCTTGTAATGGCGAATGCCACTCCTCTTATAGAGCCAATAGAGTTAAATGAGTTAGGCAAAGAAAGATCATGCATACTCCTGACTATAGCATGTGGCATTCTCATGCGTGTACTCCATACCATGTTTTCACTGGATTTTGATATCATCTAATAATGCATGCCAACAATTTATGCGTGAATAGTTTACCATAAATATCTTCAGTGTTATGTTACGTTGGAAGAATTGGAATCAAGTGGGTATGGCACCACAAGAAGTCGATTGGGATCCATGAGGTTAACCACGTAACATTAATTAACGGGAAAATTGATTCGATAACATTAATTACTTCATATCCCTTAGATTTAGATTTGACACACAACTAATGATCTAATTGATGGTCGATTGCTTTGCATGATCGTTCCATGCATTAATCATGATCTTAATCCAACTATCACGTACAATATTCTAAAAGCCCTAATTACACTTTAGATATTCGATATTTGTCCAAATATTCGATGTTTACGGGATAATTTTCGTGAGATCCTTTATCAAACCCATTCATCTTCTAATATCAAACTTGTAAGAGACTCGAATTATCTCATTCATAGAGATTTAATTTTATCCTAAATTTATTTATTTTTTGGTACCCAATAAATCTGATTGTTATATTATAATAATAGGTAGAGATTGAATGAATTTTGATATTCCATATAAGACTTCATAAGTGTAAGTAACCGATTTTTTTGGGAATTTTTTATCAATTCATTTCTATTTGTACCTGTCGTAAAATCGAACTTACGTCAACAATGATATTCGTTTCTCCATCTCATTTTCGTTCATACGTATGAAATACATGTTAGACCAATAAAATAATTTTAAATAATTATAAATTGAATAAAATTGGACATAGTACCAATCAAAATGACTCAAAGGTAATTACAATAAGTGTCATATAGAAATCTACAAAATCTAGATGACATAACCAAATCTACCCCCCTTATGATGTGGTTGTATCGAAAACCTTGTATACAAGCAAATCTTACTATTAAGTATCCCTTACCTCATATGTGATTGATTTTAACCATCAAACATCTCTTACCTTTAATATAATCAAATTCAATCATTAAGTATCTTGTTATTTTCACTATAGGAGAATCCAACCATAAAGCATCCTTTATATTCGACAAGATTGAGTCTAACTATGGAGCATCATATCTCTAATGGAGTTAGATTCGATTGTGAAGTATCCTTTACCTCCAATTCGATTGTGAGGCAGTCCAACGAAGATGATGCTTCATATTAATCAAACATACATCAGTAAACCTTAGGAGAGGATGGCAGCAAACATGCTAGAATTCCACAGCTAGAGAGATCAATAGCACCATAGCAAACACACAAATGAATAGAAAATTAGCCATACTCACTATTGCTTTACCTTCCAAGAACACAAGAGGTTTCATTGAACTGTGAGCATGGCAATACAACATGCAAATCTTAAGAATGATTTAGGCTATAGACATCAAAGAGCATGCCTTCACCACTTGCTTGAATCTATTAAGGCCAGTCAAGCTGTTGTTTCTGAAGCATACAAGGTTAAGCAGATTGACTTGGATATTGGAACATGCCCACTTGGTTTACCTGATTAGGAAGTATGAGACATGGGTAGACATACTAGCTATAAAGGCTGCATTAGGAATGTCATATGATTCACTCAATTAGGGTGCATCAAGTATGAGTTGATATGCTAAAGCATTAAAGCATACCCATATAGTTTATCTACTAAGAGAGCATAGATATAAGGAGACATATTAGCCATATAAGTCATAATGAGTGACTTGAGCATGATACATATTAGAATACCATAGCATATCAACATGGTTTGCCCAATTAGAGAGCATAGAATGTAGGAAAAAATATTAGCACATTGGATTATAGCTACATGATTTACGTAATTAGGGAGCATGGGTTATAGAAAGATGTATTAGCCATGAAAGTGATGTTAGGTGCATTGAGTATGGGGGCACACATTAGAGAATCAAAGCATACTCACATAGTTTAATCCATTAGGGAGCATAGGATAGAAAGATATATTAGAACATTAGAATATGCCCACATGCTTTATCTAGTTAGGGATCACATGATGCAGGGAGATGCATTAGATCATTTCTGGTGTGTCGAGCATAAGGACATATTAGAGCATTAGGGTATGCTTATATAGTTTACCCGGTTATGGAGCATGGGATGTAGAGAAACAAGTTGCCTATGAAAACTGAGTTAGGTGCATTGGGAGATGCATTAGACATCAAAACATATCTTCATGATTTATCTAGTTAGAAAGCATGGGACATCGGGAGAACCTTATGCCTCAAGCGACTCTTCTTCCTTCTGCTAGAGAAAACATATGGATATTCTTCTTCCTCTAGGCGATAGGTAACCCTTCTGCCTCCTCTCATCGATGGACCTTTTGTTAGAATCGAGTCGGTACAAGAGGGGTGGGGGGTGGGGGGTGAATTAGTGTAGCGGATAAAATTATATCAATTCGAAAATCTTTCGTTTGATTAAAACTGATTTCGTATCAGAAAGATAACTTGAAATCTCATTCGTATATGTAGTGAAAGCAGTAGGCAAGTAAAGCAGTTTGTAGTAAAGGCAAATTGCTTAAATATAAATGCAAACCGAGTTTTATAGTAGTTCGGTCATTATGACCTACATCCACTCTCGATTCTTCTTCCGTCGAGGCCACCGATGTCCACTAATGATCTTTTTTCAATAAGCGAAGATCAACTACCCTTTTATACCCCTTTTCTCCTTTTCATAGATTTAAAAGATAACCTTTTATAACCCTCTTTTACAAGGTATCCCTCACACACCTCCTTTAGAACTCTCTCTAAGCTTTAGGAGGGAACTCAACTTTTGAATAGGGTTTACAACTTTAGAAGCATAGAGTTTTGCTCAACTTTCTTATTTTTATTAACCAGGGATAAGAGGGGTATTTATAGGCCTTAAGTGGATTCAAACTTGGAGCCTAAAAGAGTCTTATCCCCGATTTTCGGGGTACTAGTGGTACCACCGCTTGATAGTCTCTCGGAGACTATGCCATGACGATTCCACCTGTTTGGTTACTGTTTGGGCTTTTTACTTGGCCTAACATAGCTCAACTTGGGCCCAATTGGCCCTTAATCGAGTTGACCCAATTCCAACCCAATTATGCCTAAAACCTACTTCGATCTAGACAATTATTATAAAGCTAATCAAATGTTATTCGGCATGTCATTGGTTTATCGATGCTTCGTCTGATTCTTCGGCGCATCGTCCTCTCTTGCAACCTATTGCCCAATCGGCCAGTTGACCTCCGCAACTTTGATTTTCTTGGCGTAATTTTCGCTTTTCTTGGCCCGATACCCGAACCTATGGCTCGAAGCCTTCTGCCGATACGTCGACCGATCATCCGACTCGACGTCTAATCTTTTGACATATTTCACTCCGGCCTAACATGATTCTTCCTGCTTTAATTATCTTTCATAATCGAAGCTTGTCATGTGTCACTCAAAACACAGATTAGATCACAAACACATCAATTGATTTCATCATCAAAATCTAAGATTCAGTACCTTTTTCTCTCTCTAAGCAATGATAGAGACCCTCCTTCTAACATCAAACTATTACCATACGATTTAGATTTTATAGAACCCCTATAAAACCTCATCACATTCTAACACTAAGTTTGTAATAGACTCAGTGGTTGCATAACCAAACACCTTAGACAACCTAAATTTGCATTAATATATCAAAACAAAAGGATCAAGTTAAAGCTCAAATGGAAAGGTAAAATAGGAAAGAGGGAAAGAGGGACAAAATAGAAAAGTCAAAAATTGGAAAGAATGGTTGACTCCTATACTTATGAATAACATATTTGATCAATCGGTAAGACTAATTATTTTTGAAGTAAAGATTATCACATCTTGAGAATTGGATCTCATTCAGGAGGAGGAGGACTCTCTAAGTTGTCTTTCATATCACGAGCATTACTTACAAAATAGTATTAGGGGCATGCTAGATATCATCACTATGATGCTCAAGTTAAAGATCCTTGATGGTAAGAGCTATAATGAGTGCTTCGAGCAATGAGAGACACTTTGTCCACGAAGGCTATGTTGAGCACATCGTGTACTTATGATGTACTAAGTGCGAGGAGATGTGTTAAACATGAAGACTATATTGTTTGTGTTGCATGATTTGCCTAATTATAGTGCATTAAAAACAAGAAGATGCATTGGTCATAAACCCCTCACTAGATGCATCACATGTTTTACTTGACTAGGGCACATCAAATGTAGAGAGATACATTAGTTGTAAAGGTTGCATTGGGTGTGATGCACTTTTTACTCACTTAGGGCGCGTCAAATATATGAAGATTGATTAGAGCATTTTAGCATACTCATATGATTTATTGGATTAGAAAG